TTGGCCATTCCACGTGCTGGCCATTAAGACAATTGGCCAAGCAAAACCAATTTCTGATAAGCCTCTTTTGCTTAAAAGCCAAATTATGGTATTTGAAAAATATTCGCTATACCTTTGCTCTCCCTCTCCTTTGCCTCTTTTGCTTCTGCCTCTCGTGTTGTTTTCGCAATAAGCAGCCTGCAGCCCACAGCCCCCGCCCAGCAGTTCGGTTATAAAGTAATTTCCCCAGACGCATCGAACCCTTCTAAAAAGGAATAGGAAGAAGCAGCTGCAACTGGAGCGAAAGGGGCAGTGGGATCTGGAGTGGAACATGGTCAACACAACACGGGCACAGTTGAGGTGCCTGGTTTTCTTTTTATTATTTCTGTTGTTGCTGTCTTTTTTTATTGAACAAATGCCCTCTGGGACTATTTGGCGGGCCATCGAAAAAATAAAGGTATTATGCTCAATATTATTATCGGAGTTCGGTCCGTCCGTCCGACTGGCAGTCTGTGGGACTGTTCGACTGGCCGCGTGCAGACGAGCCTCTGCCTCAGCATGGACAAAATTAACTATCAACGGCAATGCGGCAATGCCCCGAAGTAATTTTAAATAAAATATTTATAAACGTATTTGCGCATTGAAGTGCGACCGATGTCATTTTCCAGAGCGTAGAAAGAAGAGGCAAACCCCATGCAGATCCGCCTTCCACCACGACTCAGTTTATACCCTTTTTGGCAGGGACTTTCGTTGAGGGACTTGGCTCTAAAAACTGTCATTGAGTGCACATCAATGCAAATGGCGTGCAATTGTTATACATTTTTATATTCGATTTGAAATTATCAATCAGCGCATCGGAAATTGACTCAGAGAGTGCTTTGCCCCTCCCCCTCTCCATCTCTTAACCTTTCCTTTTTTGGTTTCACTGACAGCTGATAGATTTGAAAACATGTTTCCCCCGAGAGCTGTTGCCTCGAATGATATTCATTCTTTCAATTTCGGGTTCTTTCTCTCTCTCTCTTACTCTGTGCTCTGTACCAAGGCCCGGGCCAATTAATAATTGCCTTATGCATTGCGTATGCATTAACCGTCTGAGAAAAAGGATCCGCAGTAATCATATTAACGAGTCTTAAAGCAAATGGGGCGTGACCAAAGGCGTAAAATGATTGCAACTATGACAAAGACAACAGAGAACATGGCAAAGGCAAAACCAAGTGAAGGCAGCCCGTGGGGTTTTATTAAAATAATAAAGTTCTAATTTAATTATGAAGCAGCAAGCACAAAGCACAGAGACACTGAGTCGATTGGGTAGGGGAAGAGAGAAGTGAGGGAGGGGCAAGTTACATACTTTTCATTTTGATAACTCACGTACCCCTCCCGAGGGCCCTAATTAGCAGGCGACGGCCGTATAACCGAAAAATCAAGGCGCCCTCAAGCTGTTCGGCCTCGAATAGGGGTTTGTCGGGTTTGCGGCGGACGGAGTGGTTTGCGAAATAAAGGACCATAAAGTGCTAATTGAATAAAACGGCACATGACTTGCATAACTTATTATCAAAAATACGTATATATTATCTAGATGTATGGGTGTATATACAGACGATATTCCCGCTGGCCCATCATTTCTATGCAGGTCAGAGCTGAGCAAGAGGCGAAGCAGAAATCCAACCCGTCCGCGCCCCAAGCATAAATTTATTTCATTTTCATAAATTTAAAACGTACTTTAAGACAAAAGCGAGGGCGAGCGAAGAACAAGAGTAAGCAGGTTGCCTGGATGTATATATATAATATATATAGATGTGTATGCGTGTGTGTGTGTGTGTGTGTGTGTGTGTGTGGCAGCAGAAGGCGCCACTTAGAGAGCTTAAGGGCGCCCAAAAGGATATTTAGCTGGCGGAAACATTTTTACGTTTCGTTTAACGTGCCAAAGATGGCAACCGGGCGACCAGGCGACCAGCCAAAGCCCGGCTATCTCCTAGCCAACCGCGCCCGCCCACCTGCTGTCAAAAGTCTGTGGGCAGAAGTTGAGCGGCCCACGTAAAACTAATTTAACCCGCAACGTTCCACGGACACTTTTGTTCGTGCTACGCTAAATTAGTCGACCTGCCGCCCAAGCCGAGACCAAAAAATAAAAAAAAAAACAAGAAAAGAAAAATAAATGAATACAAAAGCGAAAAACGAAAATTTTCTGTTTCACCTGAAATAGAAATACGAATAACAACAACAACCACAACAACAATGGCGAGCGGAACATACTCTACTAATACCATAAAAAATTATTTTACCTTGGGGAAATTTTTGCAACAGTTTTTAATTTGTAATGCGCTACGGCCACTAAAACAAAGTGGTTAGTTCTTAGTGGGTAATTGCAACTGGCCATGGATGTAGGGTATATCAATTGACATAGAAGAGTTGCCACGACTCGTTGGCATTCGGATATTCAACCTTCAAAGTTTTGAGAATATCTAATCTAGCAAAAAACCAACTCACAGAAAAATGAATCAGAAATTGGATTATCTACTAAACTGATTTAAGCTGTGAAAGAGAAGTGAATTCGACAAGTGAAGGAATATGCCATGAATTGCTCATTTGAAAAAGCTGAGAAAGTTGAAAACAAACTACAAGAGAAGGATAGATGTAAATTCTGTGAAATAAAAAAGATTTGGTAAGTAAAGAACAGATAAAGAAAAGATTAATAGCTATACGATTTTGTTAAAAGCACTATATAACAACTAAATTTAGTGGATTTCCTAGAGCTAAAAAGGCAACTAGATAATTAAAGGAATATTCCGAGAGTTTTTTATATGAGAAAAAAGAGCTGAAAACAAACTAAAAGAGAAGAAGAAAATGTTGTGAAATGAAAAAGATTACTTAAATGAAGAAGGAAATGAAATGATGAATACGATTCTGGCGAATAAACTACAGGCCAATTTATCTGGTGTATTACCAGACCTAAGGAACAAACTAGGTGATTAAATTATTCCTTGAGGTGCCTAGACCTTCTCAGATGGAGAAAGAACAATATGTCAAAATTATATAATGAAATACCAAAATATATGCTGAATGGAGTGTAGAACAGAATAGAGAAGAGTAGAGCAGAATCCAATTAAAAGAAGAAAGAATTTAATTAAGGAATGAGCAGAGAGAATCTAGAAAATGAATGAATGAAAGGGTGGTTGGAGGTGATAAAGATTGATAATTGTGTAGCTCAATCGAAACTTCTTGAATTTACTCACATTCTATATTTTCTAATGCATACAAATTTAAAATATAGTTTAGCTGCCCACTGAAACGTCTGCTTAGTCGACCTATTCAGCTGCCATTGCAGGGTATTCAGCTTTTGGTCGAAGCTGGCCGAGGGATTCTGCGTGTCGACGACGAGTCAATTGTTTAGTGGGCTGTCATTAAGCGAGCGTCCATTTCATTAGCATTGCGGCCAGGTTTGCGCCGCCGGGCCACTGAAGCCCCAGGCTCCACCGCCCCTCCGATTTTTACTATGCCCAACACGTTTTGAATTGTTAAAGCGGCTGCCGCAGACCGGACCTATCCGGAGCTCGGCTTCCGGCTGTGGCGCCGTGTCCGGGTCAGGGCCAACAGTTGGGCGCTGATCGGCTGGACGCGCTGTCAAGAGCATTTGCAATTGAAACGCGAAGAGTTAGGCCACGCCCACCCTTCTGCTGCCCCCTACTTGCAAATACAATCATTGTTATAGAGGCTGTCAGCGCGACTGTCGCGGCCATTGATGTCATTTTAAAAGGACTCTCTTTAATGCATATTAATGTCAATATTAATGCCAATATTTGGCCTTCTAATGAGCGTCCATGCAGCTTTGCCTGCCGTTGACAGCTTTGTTAGTTTTTCAATGCCGTTTGATGTGTCCGCTTTATCGAGAGCGCCGGCCGTCGTAATTAGAAATACCTGCTCCGAGAGAGAGAGAGAGAGAGGGAGAGCTGAAACCTGAAGCGTCGCCTGATTAAAGGTCCTGGCGACATTCTGTTGACATTCGTAAAGTTTTCTACCTAATAAGATCTCAACTAGCTGGCTCATAAAACAGCCGCAGCTGCCCAGGCACTGAGGGCTGAACAGCTCCTGGCCTCGCCTTAAAGGACCAACTTTGCCATTTGTCAGCCAGCTTAGAGAGAGCCAGAGAGCGGGCGCAGAGAGAGGGCGCAGCGGAGGCTCAGGTACGCAGCAGCTGGCAAAAGTCAAACGTTAACTAAGCGCCGAAAAACTTGTGACACAAAATGCGCCCAGGCATAAGTAAACTCCTAAGAAATTCAAATGAGCGTAAGCGCAAAATACTAAAAAAAAAGTTGGAGAGAGTGAGTGAAAGAGATAGAGTGAGTGCGAGGGCAGTAAGGCAAAAGGTAGCGGCAGAGGTTAGAATTTAAATAAATGAACTCGCTCTACAGCGAGAAATAACTTGAGAAATATCCTGGCAACGGCATCCCCTTTTTTTCTCAACGCACTCGTTCTAGACACATCATAGAAAGGGCCGAGAAGGAATATATACATACGATATGGCATACGGAAAGCAATAAGCGAGTTCTGTTTCAACTTTAAAATAGAAAAGGCTGGGGCAGTTTATAACAGTCATAACTAATATATGAAATGAATTTAGGAAATGCTTCGCACTTGATTGTGACACAGATAGAGCCAAAATAGCACAAAAGACAAGCGAGTAAACCTGAGTGACTTTGTAAACCTTTTATAGTAAATTAATAAATTGATATACTTTCGAAATAATTCAAGGTAAATATTTGGATTTTTTATATCCTGACCACATTGAAAATGGATTTTTTTTTATATAATTCTTTGAATCCATATAGATTGCATGTATTGCTCTATTTCATTTGCTAAGAACAAAATAATAGGATAAAATTAACAAAAGAAAATATCTAGATTTGCTTCAGTGGCCTCATTTTTATGCGTGACTACTTTTCCTTAAGCAAATCGAATTATTCGATTGCAAGCATTAACAATCACAATCTATGCACATTACACACTAAAACTGTTCGACTTACCATTGTTAATGACATAGCGAGGATTGGTCATGTCCACCTTGGTCTGGTTGATGATCCAATAGATGGTGGGCACCGGATTGCCAATGGCCTTGCATTGCATTTGGACGGTGTGGCCCACCTCGATGACGCGTGTGCCCGGGCCCTGCGTTATAACCGGAAAGCCTGCGGGTGTTTTATCGCCTGTAACAAGAAAAGAAGAAAACAAAAAAAATTTAGTAAATGTTGTATAGCTAAAAAGAAAAAAAAAAAAGCATAGAACAGAGAACCGGATTTAAAAATTATGTTGCATAGTGAAAAATAAGAATGAATTTGTGTGTGTGTGTGTGTGTGTGTAGGGGCCACGTGAAGAGTTTGCTAGGGCAGCGGTTGGAGTTTTTCAAAAACAATATGCCACAAATATACACGTGCACACATACACTAACCCACCCACACACACACACCCACATAAAGTATTGTTTTACATGAAGCTCTTATAAGCGGAAGTTGGCGTTTTTTATATATATTTCTTTTTTTATTTAAAAGCTAGCCTCGTTGCTTGGCTGCCTTTGTTGCCGTTTTCTACGCCATTTTGTAAGTCAAACAATGGCTTTCACCACACATGAATGTGTGTGTGCTGAGAGTAGTGTGTGTGTGTGTGTGTGTGTGCGGGGGTCAGCATTTCCCTTGTGACAATTTCTTTTGTGCGGCACACTTTAAGGGCTTGGCATTCACATTCGCAGTCGCAGTCGCTGCTGCATTCGCATTCGCATTGTTTGGGCAGTGGGCGGGGCACAGTTTAAAGCAAATCCACAACTGGCAGCCAAGTGGCGGCTGTTTCCACTCTTCCCGACTGCATCTTTCAAATGAACAAAGCTCATTTACATTTTCCAATTAAATCCACCAGCCAAGCAGCCAAGCAGCCAGGCAACAGCGGCGCTCTCCACACCAGCCCCCCAGACACGCCCACGTCGTCGCTTTTAACAGCCAACTCCGGCAGCTGGCATTGCACATCTGCCGGATGCTGTTAGCGCTCCCACGCTCAGCCTGCACCCCGAGGGGCACAGCTGTGGGCGCCATAGGGGTATGCCAACTATTTAATAAGCTATGTAAATCACATAAATATCGCGCATCGATCTGCATGCAATATGCAAATTATATAATAATGCGAGTTTAAATCCACAAAAATTTTATACTTTGCTGAATGCTTAGTCGTTGATTGCATATATTTTCGTAAAGTTGTTCACTGTGCAGATTGTCTTAAATAAAAAACCTAATGTTGAAAATGTGCAAGGCAAAGGGGCATTCTCGCTTGAAACTCTCGCTTGCATATTTTTAATATTTATTGCATTACTATACATATAAGACTAAATATGGCAAGCAGCTTGATTGTTATCTTCTTTTTATCGATAACAATCGTAGCAATCGTTATCGATCCTCCGTATACATAATATAATATTTATATATTTAACTCTAACAAAAAATAAATAATAAAAAGTTGCTCTACTTGTCTAGTCGCACTTATCAGCTCTTAGAGAGTATGCAAATTCGTTGAGTTCATTCTTTCGGTTCGACTTGCTGTTATTATTATTGTTTTCATTTGCGCTAAAAACATTTAACAGATGCAACATCTACAATAAACAGCACACGAGTTAGCTGCAGCACTCTGTCAGTTCTGTCCCTTGCTCATTTTCCTCCCTCTCGCTCATCTCCTGTACTCCTTCAACCCTCACTTATCCTGCACATTTTCTTACCAACAGACAGATTTTCGTTGTTGTGTGTTTGTGTTCTCAGCGTGAAATTAAAATTTAACAGAGGGACAAAAAACGCAACTCTGCTTATGAATGCACTATAATGCACACACACACAGCATATATACATATGCATAAATGCAAAAATAGGAAGAAGCAGCGCAACAATGGCAACATCAGCCGCAACAAAAACAACAACAACAACAACGTTGATGTTGACATTTGACGTCGGCTCTCAGAGTTCTCTTTTATCCGTTAGAGTCTCTCAGTGTTGGCATTTGCAGCCGTTTTTCCTGCCCCTGTCCAATGCCACGCCCCCTTTTCTGTTTGGTTGTTCTTTTTCGGACGCTTTATTTATTATTGCAGTGTCGCTGCTTCCCAACTGCATAGCGAAAAACAACAACAACAATAACAAACCCTGACTGAAAACTGTGCCAAAATTAACAAATAAAACTTTTTATTAAACAAATGCACAATAGTGTATTCTACTTGTTTAGCTTGTGTGTGTGTGTGTGAGCGGTGGGTTTTGTTGTGGGATACAAGAGAATATGACAAACAGACAGACGAACAAACAACATACAAAGTACAAAAGCTGAGCGTAAATATGAAGTTGCATTGCTAGACAGAAAGAGGAAGAGAGAGAGAGGGGGATGGAGGGTAAATACCAGATTTTTTCACTAAGGCAAAAGGGTTATAAAATTTTAGTGGAATCGTAAACCCATGTAAAATACACACACACATATGGAATATACAACATAGTTTCATCATAAAATATATGTTCTATTATAAAATTTTATGGGGCATCGCGGAGGGAAAGGGCTAGGTGTATACGATTTGAAGTGCATTTTTGTTTTTGGACTAACATCAGCTCTGTGGAAATGCAGAAAGAGAAATAGGAAATTGATTTGCCATTTATTCAAAACTTTAAAGAGTTTTATAAATGCATTTCCCTTGGCTCAGTATTAAGAGTGAGAGAGAAAGAGATGGAATACATATTTAACATAAAATAAAATTAATATTAAATAATTTTTAATTTGTTTTTGGAGACACTATCATAATGCGTTTCGAAGATTAAGATTACAATTTTCGTAGATCTCCTCCTTTATATAATTTATTCCTATTACGTGTTACAATGCGCTATGGGTAAAAAAAAGCGATATTTTGGCATAAACCTAACTTTATTTTGCTTTCGAATCTATGCACTGCCCTTAATGTTTAATTAACAAAGTATTCACTATTCACTGTTGCAGATACATACGTGATAAGCAAAAAGTCTAGAATTTTACATCGTTCATTAAATATAATTACGAGAAAGTAATCGAAATCTGAATCGATTCAAGCAAAAACATTCGTTTTGGCTAGTGTTAAGCTTACGATACACTGCCAACGGCAACAATAAGATTGTGGGGGTCGGAAGAGTCTAAGCTATAAGGAAGGAACAGGTCCCGATTAAACAGGAAGAATTCAGCTTCTGAACTGCGCTTAAATGAAACATTAATCGATTAATTGCGAAATTTTGTGAGCAAATCGTATGCTGAAAAAAAAAAAAAAAATTTGAATGCTTATAATGCTACCAACAATAAATGAAGTGTGGAATAATTTTTTCAAAACAAGTAACGCAGAAGTGCAGTGGCGATTTAGTCAAAAACTACTGAAATTGTGCAAAAACACAACCTATTGGTTCAGCGTTTAACGTATTTTTTTTGTTTGCAGTATACGTTATCTTAAGTAGTATTGATAATATAATGTGTTGAACATTGAGCACTGCAAAAAAAACATGCCGTTCGAATTACGAGTAGTTAAGGCTCGTGATTCTATAAACATGGAGTTCGACACATTGCACACACTTTTGTAACACACATGATTCACCCCCTTCCTTTAGCTTCTTTCACCCATTACACACTTCACACTTTAACAGTTATTAATGTCGGGACGGCGCGAACGCCATTCCCGGCTACCAAAAATTACACGCACGAGTTATTCACATTAGGAATAATCGCAGAGGTCAACTCAGCCGATAGTGCAATGACCAAGCCTCACTCCGGAGGAACCGCCTTCGTGATCACGGTTAACCTCTACGCCAGGTAAGTATGCTTATTTCACCTTAGACTCAGGGTTACCTTGTGCGAGCAACTAAAACCGTTTAGGAATTATAAGAATCTTGCATGAACAAGTGCGCCCTGCACTAGGCAATACTTTTTGATAGGATTTTGGTTCATAGCAGGCTAATATGGTGAATGTTATAATTGGTAAAATTGTAATGATATTTTTAAACTAAAAATAATTTATTATAAATTGTTGAGAAGGTTTCAATACTATTATTAATGTTTTTAACGATTATTAAAGTTACTTAAAATACATTAATAATAAATCCCGGCTGAAGACATTCTTCATTTTTCTTTAAGTTTTAATAAGACTTTCCAAGACAAATATATTAAAACAAATAAACGGTAAGCAATATTATTTCAGGTTAACTGTGATATTTAAGAACATGCAAATGATAACATTGCAAACATTTTTTCAGGTATACAATAACAAAAATTTTAATGTATTTCAGCATTGCATTCAGCTATCTCAGCTCCAAACTGTTTATATGCATATATAACATTATATATATCTGCTTTATTTTGGATCCTATTCTTTCTATATGTTTAATACTTTATTGTTTCGCTTTAAAGCATGCATGGTATTATTTTTATTTGTTTGCAGTTCCTTTTTAAGCGCTATTCAAGCATTATGCTTGTGCAAATATTTGCCATTGTTCTAAACTAAAAATATGCACTTTTTCAGTGGCTCTCAGATGCGGGCCACATGCAGCATGGCCAGCATTGACACCATCGATAAAGCCAGCCAGCAACAACAACAACAACAACAACAAAGGTTAAAACAACTACAACAACACCACACGCTGGTTTAACGACATTTCAGTTAAAGACTAAAGTTGTTGATTTTGATGTTGTTGTTGTTTTTAGTGACTAGCCCGTGGGTACATTGTTGTTGCTGATGTTGTTGTTTTTGTTGTTGGCTATGCGTTGCCAATTTTGAAAATGCAATGAAAAATTCTAAAAGCGAAGGACAGTGGAAAACTCAGAGCCTGGCCAACTGGCGAACACTTCATTTACAGCATTACGAGAAGGCGTCAAGCGACAAGAGGGAGATGAAGAGAGAGGTAGAGAGACAGAGAGAGAGAGAAAGAGAGAGGGAGAGGGAAAAGGAGAGGTAGTGCAGACAGCAGCCAACACATCGCTGACCAAATGCAACGCGTCAATGCGTGTTGTGTGTGCGTGTGTGTTGGGTGTGCGTGTGCATTTATTATAAAGCCAAGCGGCATAGAGCGAGTGAGTGAGAGAGAGAGAGAGATAGAGAGGGACAAAGAGAAAGAGAAGGCTGCTGCTGTCGTTGACTGCCAAATTCATGTGGCCTTTCATGCATTTCAATTAAGCCGCTGCGAGT